GTACTTTATTAACTGTCATTGCCCTATTTTACTTTTCATACAAACACACATAAGCACAACTGCAAATCCAGCGCACTACCTCCTTTCTAAACTCACAATCCTACTAGTTGCAATTTTGTTCCAATACTATGCTTTATTAGGAATTAGATTCATAGCAGAGCTTAAAAATTTTACTCAAGGATATGGGTGGGTAAGAAAAAAATTCTATAATTCTATAATGGCAGCAACTTTGGATTTAAGCCAAGGTTCCTGATATTATTAAAAATCAATCTATCTTTCAGTTATTTCTTATTCATGATCTTGAACCAAAGGAAGTTTAACCCAATCACAATTTGGGTAAGATGCATCTTCTCAAAAGGCACTCATTACTAAAGCCCTGAAATCAAGTCTTCAGAATGCTCTAAGGAAAGGGCATTTGAAAAGGTCCCACAGATGACACTAACACCCAAAGTATACTCTGTTCATAAACAGTTGGGAAGGAATGCTATTAGTCATTGTTAACATCAGCCCAACGAATTTTGGTGACCAAGGAGTGAGGTTACCTCACTACAGCTATGACTATACAGGTTTGAAAAATGTTCTTGTCTCTGATCCCCTATTTATAGTTGACTTGACTCTTACCAGGTCATTGGGTTGCAAACAAAGATGTTCGATGTACTGCTAGTAGGTAGCATTGCCCTTCATTTGTCAGTGCATGAAATGTAGCAGTTCAAGCTACTTACTCAAGAGACAAAGGCAATGAACATCATTCTGTTTTAAAGCTAATATCTGGTAATTTGAAACCTTAGCTCTTTAGCCAATCTGGCTGTCCCTCAGTAGAACATCTCAGCTTCATTATTCGTTACTTTTAAAAGGAAAAAAAATATGCTTCAGGTTGAATCTGAGAATAAATAAAAGATCTTGGGTAAAAGCTCCATTCCCACTTGCAGACAGACGTTAGTGTCAGTTTTGTTTTATAAACTGCCACTGACCTTCATTGATCAATACTTTCATTACTGGACACAAAACAGGAAGATCAATGACTTCCTACAAGGATGGTACATGATGGATGAGCCTGGAATCTATTATTACAATAAATGGCTCTGAAACCCTGATAGAGTGCACTCAGATATCCTCCTGACTAGGTTTCCTTCACAACAGAGAGCCAAAGGTTCCCCTTCCACCCAATAAAAGTTTGGACTGCAAATCTATTCCCTAAAGCAAGCAGTGAAGTCAGAAGTAGAAGATTTATTCATAGCTTAACTCTCAAACTGCAGATTTGGAGCATGTCAGACTGTTAAGACAGTCCAGGGAAAGGAGCAAAGAATACAGAAAAAAGCAGCCCAATAACTCTAAAAAGAATGTCTAACAGGGCCACAACCCATCTTCATTCAGCCATGAAATGTACAGAGTTTTGCTCTTTCACTGCACTACCTTTCCCCCCCATCCTAATAGCAAACTAAAGGGACGTGGTGGCGCTGCGGGTTAAACCGCAGAAGCCTCTGTGCTGCAAGGTCAGAAAACCAGCAGTTGTAAGATCGAATCCATGCGGTGAGCTGCCATCGCTTGTCCCAGCTCCTGCCAACCTAGCAGTTCGAAAGCATGTAAATGCAAGTAGATAAACAGGTACCACCATGGTGGGAAGGTCATGGCATTCTGTGTCTAGTCGCGCTGGCCACGTGACCACAGAGGCTGTCTATGGACAAACGCTGGCTTTACAGCTTGGAAACCGGGATGAGCACTGTGACCTAGAGTCAGGCATGACTGTACTAAATGTCAAGGGGAACCTTTACCTTTACCTAATAGCAAACTGGCCAGGTTTTATTTTGGCATAGCATTAACTTGCTGAGACTTCAGATACAAATAGATTATACACAACATTCGCAAAAGCAAAGTGAGAACTCCTTTCATAACAGCAACCTGGTACATTCCAAAGTAAAAGTGAAGGGTGCAACTTCCAGAGGTCTATGGGCCACATATACCAATCTCTGGACCTTGGGCAGGGGCTTGAGACCCTACACTACAAAATAATAACTCTTAAACCTTTTAAAAAGCTCCTTGTGCCCTTTATTAGCTCACAATTCTTTTTTTTTTAATTGGGAGCTTGGGGGACACAGGGGAACTAAAGGTCCCTCAAAACATAGCAAAATTGCTTTCTCACACCCCCTACAGGGCATGCGATGACTTTATGAGGCTTTTGTCAAAATAACTTTAACTTGGGGGTGGGTGGGAGTGCTGAGGGTCATATTACAGCCTCAGGGGCACATGTGTCCAGTAGTCAATAATAAGGCCACATGCTGTCTACCCCTGTTCTGAACTGAGGGATGGGATAAGAATGTCAGAAACTGATAATGGAAAAAATCAAGAATCAACAAGGGAAAATTCTGACAGAAGTCCCTGGAATGAAAGAAGGTGTAGAAGGTGCCCTGTGCCAATTATATGGTGTTGCTCTGAAGCAATATAAGCCTCCCAACCCTGCAATGCAAGTGACTGGATGAAGTGCGAATGGAGACGCATGAAGGACACAAATCAAGAAGAGAAACAACCTCCATTTATGTGGGGTACTATCCCTATTTGCAGTGAGCCAACTAAAAATTCTAGAGCAGATCATTAAACAGACAGTTTGTTATTACTTAGAAAGCAATGATGTCATCACTAAAAGTCAACACGGGTTTCTCAAAAACAAGTCATGCCAGACTAATCTGATCTCTTTTGTTGATAGAGTTACAGGCTAGATAGATGACGGGAACACTGCAGATACAGCATATCTTGATTTCAAGTAAGGCCTTTGACAAAGTTCCCCATGATATTCTTGCAAGGAAGCTAATAAAATGTGGGCTAGACAGAGCTACTGTTCAGTGGATTTGTAACTGGTTAACTGAATGGACCCAAAGGGTGCTCACTGATGAACTGCACAGATATAGGATGGAAGACACCTGGCTAGACAACAGTACTTGTGAAAGGGATCTACAAACTGAACACGAGTCAGCAGTGTGATGAGGCTGCTAAAAAAAGCCAATGCAATTCTTGGTTGCATCAATAGGAGTATAGTGTCTAGATCAAGGGGAAGTGATAGTACCACTCTATTCTGCTTTGGTCAGGCCTCACCTGGAGTATTGTGTCCAGTTCTGGGCACCTCAATTCAAGAAGGATGTTGACAACCTGGAACATGTCCAGAGGAGGACAACCCAAATGGTCAAAGGTCTGTAAGCCATGTCCTGTGAGGAGTGGTTTAGGGAGCTGGGAATGTTTAGCCTTACAAAAAGATGGTTAAGAGGGGACATGATAGCCATGTTTAAATATCTGAAGGGAAGTCATGTCGAGGAAGAGACAGATTTGTTTTCGACATCTCCAGAGACTAGGACAAGGAGCAATGGTTTCAAACTACAGGAAGAGATTCCACATGAATCTCAGGAAGAACTTCCTGACAGTCAGAGCTGTCCGGCAGTGGAACAGGCTGCCTCAGAGTGTGGTGGAGTCTCTTTCTTTGGAGGTTTTTAAGCAGAGGCTGGATGGCCATCTGTTGGGAGTGCTTGGATGGAGTTCCTGCATGGCATGGGGGTTGGACTCGATGGGCCCTGTGGTCTCTTCCAACTCTGTGATTCTACGAAAGCCTTTAGATAGGAAGGAAAAATTATGTTCACCAAAGCTGCTTATTCAGTCCCTCAGAGGGGTTTGGAAGAAAGATGTCTTCTAGGAGCTTCTGCTACCATCTACATGAATGGAACTCTGCTGACCTTAACAACTTTAAGAGCACCACCATAGCTTGCTGATTGGCAGAACTCTCTTTTGTATACCATGGCTTTCTAAAATCACCCTAGGGTCTAAGCAGTAAACCAGTAAGTACAAAGCATTCCTCATCAAAGGTCCTTTTAAATGTATTAAACTAGTTTGCCAGTATGTCTAGACAGTTTTCATGACAGCCATAAGTTCCAAGGAAGAGTACTTGATGAACTGAAAATATTTCAAAGTCTGTACTTTATATCATGCATATTATTAAAATTTATTTAAATTAATGAATGACTGTTGCATTAGAGTATGATAAAGAAGGAATTGTGCTAGAGAAAGGAAACTAGAATCATACTAGGAGTAAACAGTATCATGTAAGATCATCTGTACTCCATCCCTTTCAAAGTCTCTTACAACTCAAGTATGCGAGAGGTAATATTTACACATTGTAAAACTGCCTGAACAAGAAACTTTTTTAAAAAAATTAATTTCCCTGCTTGGAAATGTATCTGTGAAACCTGCAAGATCCAAATCATGGTGCACCAATGTTTCCTTTTTACAAACCAAGTAAAAAGGAAGGTCATAGAACTCCTGGTAGGGCTGTTCTGGACTTTAATGGGGTACCTATTTTGCCAAAGCTCCTTATAATTATTTACCATATTCTTCTCACTTCGTTTTCAGAAGAAGATATTCAACACCACGGCTCATTTAACAAAAATAAAAATAAAACCAGAAAAGAATTATGTGAATTGCCAAATACTTTTGGTTAATAAATAAATAAATAAATACACTGCATCTGTTTTGAATTCACATGTGTGATCTGAGCACCCTCTGCTGGGCAAAATTACTAATCACAACAATTAAAACTACATGTTTTAACATTCTGGGGCTGGTAAATATCCCTTTTAAATTTTACCCTCTCCAATCACAGAATTATAGATATGAAAGAGACCTCAAGCATTATCGAGTCCAGCCTCCTGCCAATGCAGGAAATCCAAACCTTAAAGCAACCCTGACAGATGGCTTGGTTCATACTTTTCAATGAAAGAGAGTCCATCACCCTCTGAGGCAGTTCATTTCATTGTAGAATAGCTCTCACTGCTAGGAAGCGCTTCCTGCTGCTTAGTAGTGATCTCCTTTTTTGTAACTTGAATACATTACTTCTGGACCTATTCTTGCCAAAAAAACCCAAGCCTACTCCATCTTCCATGCGATGCTCTTCATTTACAGTGATGCCTCTCATAGCGATGATAATCCATTCCAAAAAAATCGTCACTATCAGGATTCGTCGCTATGCGGGGCAAAAAATCCCACAGGAATGCATTAAAACACGTTTAATGCGTTCCTATGGGCTGTAAACTCACCGCTATGCGGAAATCCTCCATGCGGCCACCATTTTCGCTGCCCGGTAAAGGAGAAAAGGAGGCCTTTTGTTTTGACAGCCATTTTGGAACTGCCGATCAGCTATTCCCAAAACATCGCTATGCGAAAATTGGTAAGCGAAACGCTTACTAATCATTGCAAAGCAATTTTTAGCCATTGAGAACATCGCAATGCGGTCGCTTTTGAGATCGCAAAAAAAGTGTTGCTATGTGGATTCGTTGTTAACCGAGGCGATCGCTATGTGGGGCACCACTGTACTTGAAGACAGCTATCATATTGCTTCTCAGCCTTTTCTTTCCCAGGCTAAACATGGCAAATTATTTCAACCTTTCCTCACAGGCTTGGTTTCCAACCATGTTTCCATTCTGGCTGCCCTACTATTTAAGTTATGAAACAGGATTTCAGCCAATGGAATCTTCAAGCCAGCCAGCTGCTCAACAACCTTGCTATTGCCAGCCTCTAGTGGCACGTCATTCCTCCAAAACCCAATCCTTACCAAAATACACTTAGTTACACTAACATTCCATAGTATGAGATGTATCAGATTAGGGTAGTCATAAACACCAGAACACTTAGTGAAATATATGTCTAATGAGATCCCAAGGCCCAGAGTGCTCTAAATTGGCCTCTTAACAAAATCAACAGTTCTTATTCTAAATTCTCCTTCTCAATATAAAATTAGCAGCCCACACAGAGAGTATAATTTAGTACATACAAGTAGATTTGGAATCAAGCAACAAACATTTCCTACTGAAAAGCATCTATAATCTATATATTCACAGGAGTGGGGAGAGATGATGCTTAAGAGATAACTTTCACATTAGGAAAAATATGGGACTATTGTATTCTCCAAAAAATGGCAAGTGGGTTATTCCTAGTAGTATGGTATGCAATTCTGTCCTTGATGTGTGTAACTGTAGTTCCCCCAAGTAAAAAAACTAAGCATTGAGAACATTTAGGAATTGCAACTGACTTGATTAAAGAAAAGATATCTAATAGTAAACAAGAGCACATGGCTTAGATGCAGTTACCTTTGTCGAAGAACATGGAGGCCATCTGACCCATCTCCACCCTTTCAGTGATTTCAAAAATATTAGGTGCTCCTCGTCTCTCTGCAAGTTTAAATGAAAGAAGTCCTTAATCTGTCTCTGAAAGGTGTTTTCTCATTCAAGCCACAGCCTATTCTCTCTCCCATATTTCCACCCCATTAATCATCGCTCAGCATACTGTAGAGAACAGGGTGTCAGACGGGAACCCAGAAGACCCTGTTCAGCCATGAAAACACACCAGGAAGGGGGACACTGATAAAACCTGCACTTAAACATCTCACCTTGGAAACAGTACTAGGGTTGCCATAAATCAGAACTGACTTGACACCACACAACACAGTATAGTAGTTATCATTTTCCCATACGGCTTACAACAAAACTGCCTACAGGAACAGCAAACCCCTGCATATTTTAAAAATATTTAGGCCAAACTTTACTAAGAAAGGTATATGTATACATGGCTCCAGAGCAAATGAAGTTTTGTCTGTTTTCAGATTTTGTGGATTTATTTAAGTACAGAAGCCATAGGGTTTGCTACTCACAGGTGCTTTAACAATGCACACACATACAACTGTGCTTCCTACTAGAAGGGGACTAACAGAGAAAATATGCCATTTCAGTTGCTTTGCCCTTTGATGCTTTCTTAAGTTGAAAAAAATAACTTTGTAGCCCTCACAAGGCAAATAAAGATGATCTGATATGAGTATCTGTTACACAACATGCAGGAAAAATAAGAAGTCTCTTCTTACTTTTCCAGTTTTGCCTCTGCATTGAAATGTTCCTGAAAGCAGGAAATATTTCTTGCATGTCTCGGGAGAAAAAGAACAATTCGCTAGAAACTTACGAACAGATAGGATAGGCCGAGTCTCTGACCGCTCGTAGCCATCTGGGAGGAGGACATCACTGTCGGAAACTCCAGAGGAAGAGTCTTCATCATTATTATCATCTTCCTAGAATAGTATGGAATTAGCATAAATTGTCCAAAAATACTGGAGGGTTTCAAAGTTCTAACAAGAAAAAAGATGTTAAACACTTTTTAAAAAAGCACACAAGGAGCTTTTCCTGGCTTGAAAAAATGCTATAGGATCTTTTCCTGCAGCAGAGAACATCCTCAAGAGACGGGTTGTCCTTCCTACTCGCCAGGCAGCAGCAGAACTCCCTTGAGAAAGACCAAACCTGGCTGAACCAGTTTCAGTTTCTGCCTGCACTTTGCACAGGCTTGCCTCAACCTTGTCTTCAGTTCACCTCTTCTGTTTTTCAGTTATTCTTAATTCTTTTCACTATATTTTTCATCCATGAAATGCAGCCACTTTCCAGATTCCCTCCACTTAGACCCTAACTATGTCAGCGACAAGGGAGGACACTGGCTAGTCTGAGCCTCTCTGTGGATTTTGAGCCATCCCCAGATTACTAGCCTTTGGTTTCAGGCACCTTTGTTAGGCCCCAGAGAGCAATGGAGGTAAATGGGGAGCTAGGTGACTGATCAGGAGAGGCTCCCTTGCAGTACTGAGTCACCACTAAAAGGCTCTCACTCCACTGACCGCTCAGAGGCCCCCAGCAAAACCATCTAAACAAACTGTATCTGGGGACCCAAGTTCAAGGATTCCCTGTCTTCTGCCCTCACAGACGGTCAGGTACCCCACCCAGAAACAATTGGCTTTATAAAACTTTGCAGATCTCTGGTTTTCTGGCCATTCCCATCTGAGTGTGCTCATAGGCTCTGACCAAGGCAAAGCTTTCCTCCATGGCAGCAGGATGGAAAAGATGCAATCCACTCTTCTGAACGTACTACAAACCCTTAATTCAAATGCCATGATTTTATCATAGCTCTTAGGGAAGATGATCTCCACAATAGTCTATTCATCCAAAGGAGGTTTCACTCCAGATTTCTTCAGTGGTTGTTACCTCCCCATCAGATGGGCATAGTACAACAAATGCACCTGCCTGTCCTTGTTTTGAATCAAGTACACCAGTCTCTGTACTGGTGGTTGCACAAGGGAAAAATAATTTCTCACCCCCATTAGGACACAGCAGACGCAAGTCTTGGAGGCAGGGTGCACATCTCCATTTGCTGGCAGCCCAGGGTAAGTGGTCAGCTGATGAGCCCCTCCTCCCAGCATAAATTGGCGGGAGTTGAGAGCAGTGAGGATTGCTCTGGATTCCTATTAGGACCAAATTCATAGACAAGAGGTACCGGGAGGGACACATATATCATCAAGGGGGCACACATTGAAAGCTTCTGATGAAGGAAATGGATCCGATAATGATTTAGGCCAAGTCTTATCTCCTTTCCTTAGTGATAGAGCATGTTCAGGTAATAAGGAATATAGAATCAGACTGGTTGAGAACTGGGTAACAAGTGTAGCTTCTCCAATACAGTGTTCCAGTTGATCATAGCATGGACATCCTTGCCACACCAAAGAACAAAATGGTGAGCAAGGTTCCAGCTAATGGAGACAAAAGGCTTTGATTTGATGAACTCCCCTGGGCTGGAAGACTTCTGTATGCCTTCCCATCTACACCAGGTCACTTTCTCAGGAGGGTGAAATTGGAACTCAGGAATGAAATTTTCATAGCTGCACCACTAACATAGAAATAGCTTGGTTCTCCAAGGCTCCTCAGCTCATAGTTGGGGTCTGTGCTCCCTCCACGTCAGGAGATTCTGAGCCAGGGCAAAGTTTTCCATCCAGATCCAGTATGGTTCCACTTTCACACATGGTTATTGAAAGGGTGGGGCCACAGCATGTGGACTATGAACACTGAAGCCACCTTGGTTTTGAGGAAGGACTCTACTTCATTTACGAGTCTTCTGGAAAGGTGTTCCAAAGGAGCTGCAGGAGCAAGGGCAAAGCTCCTCTGAATGTTTTCTTTTACAAAAGTTTCTGACAGAGACATGATTTAAGAGATAGTTGGCAGCTTTTCCCTCCGTTCTTCCAAGCAGAGGGGACAAGCACCAGTGATGAGACTCAGATATCAAGATGTTTCATTCAAAGGAGTATCCCTATCTCATCACGCTCTGTCAGCAGGTTTCTGACCTGGAGTCTCCACACAGTAATGAACATTTTAACAAAGCCACTCTTTGAGCTACTATGACGGTCTTTTTTCAAACTTCTAAAAGAAAATATATTTTCCTTGTGACCATTACATCAGCCAGGAGGGTATAGGAGCTATGAACATTATTGGTCCGACCAGAACTACATATTATTCATAAAGACACAATCGTTCTGTATCTCAGTTCTTCCTTTGTCCCAAAGACAAACTTTCACAGGTCACAAAAGGTGATGCTGCTTTAATCATCATAATCCCCTCAGACTCTTGAATAGATTTGGCATGAATGGATGTAAGGAGAACACACACAAAACAACCTCAAACAGTCCAGATACTTCAGGCATGTTGGTGCCTTGTTTCTGACCTTCCAGCTTCCACCAGGGAAAACAGGATTTTCTAAATCACCTCTCTCTAGATGACTGATAGCATTTGTGCTATCCGAGTTATGGTTTGAGGCTGACATGAGGCATCACTGCTTACAGGGTCACATCAAACACATTTCGCACCTGCTTCCTGCTGGAGGATGTTTGCCAGGTGGCCACTTGGAAGGTGCATTCTTCCTTTGTCAGGCATTACCACCTGAACTACTTACCTCAGTTGAGGTGGCACTGGGGAGAGGAGTCCTTCAGCATGTGGAGGACCTCTCCTAAGTCCAAACTGAACAGTTTTTGTACCTATAGGGGGTAAGTGAACCTCTCCTCAGCCCCACCCTAGGACATTAGGCTTTGGTAAGTCCCATCTCTGAAGGATGTCCTCCTCTGCCACAGGAAAAAGGAACGTTGGTATTCACTGTGAGATGTTCCTTTCATGTAGCAGAAGGAGGACATTCTCCCCATCCCTTGGGTTATTATGACCAGATCCTCGGAGGGGCACCTACCAGATCTGTTTTTTCTTGACTGTACTGTATGGTTTATATTATTCCCTGTTTCTGGTGGCTGGAGATGAAAATCAGTTCAGCCAGGGTTGGTCCCTCCATCTTAAGGGAGTCAGTCCTACTGCTGCCTGATTGGCTGACCAGTTCTGCCTATGGAAGTGAGTGGGAGGGGCAACTCATCACTTGAGGATGTCCCCCTTCTGTGTCATAAAATGGACATCTCACAGTGAGTTCCAATGTTCCCTTCTAATATGCTCACAGCTTCGTCTTCTCCATAATACAACTTAGTCCTCATCTTAGTTCCAGTACAGAGCCATGGTGAGAGGTACAAAACATTTTTAATGAGACAAATATTGTAAGGTGGTGCAGAATTCACTGCCGTATTCTAAGGGCAAACACATATGCTTGGAAGGCAGAGCAAAATAAAGCTTTTCAGCTACCATGTCATATGAGGGCCAGATCAAGACATGTCACACAAACCTTGTGCTTCTCCATTCTCTTCCAGCGAAGCTGGGCATTTGCTGCAGCCATGGCCTCCATTACAAAAGTTGTTGTCATATAGCTAGTAGGAAAATCATAAGACACCAGTCACTTAAGAACAACACCTAATTTCTACCTACACAATACATTAAATTGTTATATTTTGGGGAGTAGAGTAGAGGCAATATTGAGAATTAAAGATGAGACTAAATAAAACAGCAGGCACCAAATTTGTTCTCCCCATGTCTGTCCATCTCATATATAAAATGCAGCGTTTAATTCTTACATTGAGAAGATCACTGTGAGTTTGGAGAACTGAAGCAATCCTATATGCCATGCTTGGGCTCCTCATGCTGCAGTGCTTTTCTGCCAGTCTAAAATCCATGTTAGAAATGTGACAGGCAATGCACAAAAAGGGCCCCAAACAACAGACTGCAGAAAAGTTCAGTGACTGATGGCAAACTCTTAGCTCCCCTCACCCTTGTGCCCCTATGGATATAAAATTTATATCCGGTCACACTTTTAACCTGGAACAGAGCAGATATATGCTTCAGATACAAACTGAACAAAATTTATTTGAACAAAGATTCTGCCTCTTGTTGGTACTGGTGAAGAGAGAAAGGAGCAGTAAGAATATCTCTTTTATATGTAAAGTGAAGAAGAGCTAGGTAAGATTGTGGCAATGCTGTTGCAACATCCCTGCTACTTTTAGTGGCAACATTCTTGCTAATTTTAGTTGATCTTCTGATGCATGAGATTCTAATCGATTTTACCTTAAAACCAAATTTAATTTGAATAAGAAACCAAAATAAAGACAAGTTTCACAGATACATCACTCTACTAATAATTTTGGTGTCCAAGTACACACACACACAGAGACAAAAACCCCATCATGATACTAATACATAATCATTGGGGGTGTGGTTTCCATCTTCTATGTTAATATGTAAAATGTCATCTGAAGAGGACTCAGAAAATGGGCAAGAAACCTATGACTCTCCAGATCTTGTCGGGCTCCAAATCCTATTATGCCCAGCCACCATGGCATGGTGAAAGGTGGAGTCTTAACGGCATATGGAAGGCCACAGATCCACCATCTCCAATTTAGACCCTTGAGTGGGAGATGCAACTGACTATACCAAGGTAATAATCAGATTGCCGGGCTATATAAACAAGGTCAGCAACCATATTGCTAGAAAGAACTATATGAACTACTAAACAGTTTGAAAAGACCAAGGTCTGAAAACATTTCCCGAGAGCTACCATGCCAATGGCTGCAAGAAAGTAATCTATCAGTGGCTCCCACGTGCTATTACCATTTGTTTTGTTGATTATACAAATGAATTGCCATTATACCAGGTAAATGACCATTTTATACTTTCCTCTCATTTTTACTAAAATATAAAATCAATCTTATTTAAACCACAAAATGGTTTTTTACTGCTTCACAAGCTGAACTCATTTATCAAGTCTGAATAAGCAATTAGTCTTGCTAGGATTAGGGCATGGCAGCTCCTTCCAGGGACTTGGGTAGTGATTTCCGCTATGTTATTTTACTGCACCAAAAAAATTCTCCAGAGGATGCTAAGAGCTAAAAGTACAAAAATAAGAAATGGGACCATCAGGGTAACAAACCTCAAATCACTTGGCACCCATGAGAAATGTTTCAGTGCTGATACAAAATATATGACTTCAAATCTAGACATATCCCGAGAGTATCAAGAAATGAATAGGCCAAGGAATCAATGCACAAGGTACAAACAGCTACAGGCAGGTTTCAAGGTTCTGAAATAATCTTTTAAAAGCTTCAGCAGCAATTCTGTTCTAAGCATGCAAAGATGGACACAGGCCATACTGTATTGGCTGAATATTCTGGGAAATAAGAGTCCAAAAAAGTCGTATTTCCAAGCTCTACACTGCATAAAGCATACCCTGTACAGTCAAGAGATATGTTCAGAGGTAAATTTTGTATCCCTTACATTTCCAACTAAGGTTATCTCTCTGCAAAAGGGCAGAGCTGCACATTATAAGAAACAAATGTTAATTTTCATTTTAAAAAATCCTCACAACAACACTCCAAATTCTATATCTCTTTTAACATATATTATAATGTAGCAAACACCCTAGACTTTAAAAACTGAAATAGCTATTATGTCACTTTCATGTGTCAGCCTGATTCAGTAAAGCTTAATTAACCTTTACCGGCATCCAACTGGTATTCCATAAACCCAGTAAATCAATGTGATTTTCATGAGTGTTATCTCACAATTCAGGCAGTGATTCAATCACTTTACTCTAGTCTGGATAAGCACCTGAATATATCAGTTAACTACGCATTTTATGCTTGCAAGTTGATTGTTGTTGAAAATGTAAGGGACACAAACACTACCTCTGACCTCACTATCTGCTGACCACAAAGGACATGTTTACTGAGTCAATAACTGTCTCAGTTCCTATGGACTAGGAAGCAGAAACACCAAGGAATCAATCAGTTGCTCCTGCTAGCTAGTTACTGTGTAGCCAGACTTGGGGGCAGTTTTGACTCCTACAATTTAGAAAGCAGCCATGTCAGCACCAAGCACAAATGAACAAGTAGCCTACAGACAAAATTCTTTAAGCAGAAGAGACAGTGCTAATCAATGGGAGATAAATGAATCAAGATTGAGAAAAGCAGAAAAGCAAAGTCATTCTATGTTGTCACAAGGCAGAAAACTCTAAAATGAGATACGAGGGAAAGGATATTTAAGATGACTATGTAACTACTGACTTCAGGTACCCATCAGATGAGAGAAATGTTCAACATACATATTCCCCATATGAAGCCTGACTGCTCAGAATTCTTACCTGGACCACTTCAGGACACAAAGAGCATACCTTTCCCCCTTAGTCTGCAATGTTACCAAACCTTTTTGAAAATTCTCTTTATTATCTAGTTGGGTTCTTTATCAAATAAATTTACATTAGTTCCATGTAAATCAATCAAACAAACATGGAAACTGGGCATAAATAATCAACTTCCAGTCGTGTGCAGAGGTCCTTATGCAATTCTGAGATATATAGATGATCTAGAACAGTGGTTCTTAACCTTGGGTTACTCAGGAGTTTCGGACTGCAACTCCCAGAAGCCTTCACCACCAGCTGTCCTGACTGGGGTTTCTGGGAGCTGCAGTTCAAAAACATCCGAGTAACAAAGGTTAAGAACCACTGATCTAGAAGATATGCATAAAATCTCAATCAAGTAGATGATAAAAGGATCACATTAGTTAGAAAAATAAACCATAGTTTCAGTAATACCAGATCCCAATACATAGATAAGAAAAGTCATGTACAGTAAAATCTTACCTCATGAAACCCAGAAATAGTATTAAGATGAGACTGACAAGCCAACCTGCAGTAGCAAAGGCCTTCGGCATGGTTAAAGCTCCTGTTCCTACTATGAGATTGAACATGTAAACCAGACCAACCTGCAAATGCAGAAAACACATCTTGTTAGCCTTTTAAACCTGCCAACTAAAAATTGGTAGAAGCAAGCAAGTTCCATACATACAATCTAAAGAGAACAACTGGCTTACCAAAATCCCCACTGATTCAATAAGCCTACTTTAGTACAAATTACTAAGCTAAGCAACAGGATTCTGGCCAATGAATAAGTGCCCACTACCTTCCAAGGTAGTCCATTCCACTATCAAGCTGTTCCTACTGTCAATAGTTTCTTTTAAATGTTTAGGCAAGATCTTCCTTATTGTAACTTGAATTCATTACTTTAGTTTCTTCTTGCTGGAACTAAAAAACAAAGCAAAACAAAGAGTTCTGCCTTCCATGTGGTAGTCCTTCAAATGGTTGAAGATGGCTATCATATCACCTCTCAGCCTTCTCTTCTCTGGGTTAAACATATCCAGAGCCCTCAACGATTCCTCACAGGGCATGGTTTCTAGATCTTCTACCATCCTGGTTGCCTTCTTCTGGACATAATCCATAATCTACTTAAACTGCGGTGCCTAAAACTGGACACAGCATTCCAGATGAGGTCTGACCAAGGAAGAATAGTGTGGTACAATTATTTTCATTGATCTGAATCCAGAACTATGTTAATCTTCTTTGCTGGCATGTCACACTCCTGTCTAGCCTGTAGACTCAGATCCTTTTCACCTGTATCCATCCATCATATATTTGTGCACCTCTTTTCTTGTTTAAAAGAATAACTTTACATTTTTCTATGCTGAAACTCATTTTGTTGGTTTCCACCTAATTCTCTGATCTGTTCAAGTCAACTTGAATCTTGATTCTGACTTCTAGATGAATACTGTACTGACTTCTGCTGCTGCAGACATAGCTGCAGTATCAGCTACTACGTCAGTATCAGCAGTATCAGCTACTACTGGCGTCATCTGCAAATCAGATGAATATCCCTTCAATTCCCTCATAAAAGTTATTTATAAAAATGCTGAAGCACACGGGGCCTAGAACTCTGCAGCACCCCACTTGCTGTTCCTCTCCAGGATAACAAGGAACCATTGGTGAGAAGAACACTCTGGATATAATCTATGCACTAGGTACAAATACATCTAACAGTAGCATCATCCAGCTCACTTTTCACCAGCTTGACCACAAGACTATCAGGAGGGACCTTGTCAGAAGCCTTGCTGACATTGATATATTACAGTCATAGCACCTTCCTCCTTGACCAAGCTTGGGACTTTCTCATGAGAAAAACAGAGAGAAAAGAAGAATGCATAATAAGATTAGTTTGGTGTGTCTTGTTTTTGCAAAATTATTCTGAGTCTTAGAAATCACAGTATTATTTTCCACAGTGACCACAAGCTACCTATTTAATTATCTGTTCTAGAACCCTTCCTGATATTGATGTCAAGTTGATGATTTGATAGTTGCCTTAATTTTCTTTTCTCTCTCCTTTATGAAAATATGGTGATGTAATCTGGTCACTTCCAGTCTTCAAACACTGTAGACTGACATGGAGAAACAATGGCCTTCCAAATGATCTTGGTTTAAAACTCCTAAAATTCTTGACAAACATCTGCAGCACCAGAAGTCCATATTTATCTAAAGGACCATTAGTTCTCCTGAGATGATGCCACACTACAGTAGTACCTTGGTTTATGAACGCCCCAGTTAATGTAATTTTCAGTTTATGAACAGAAATCCATAGAAAATAATGCCTCAGTTTACCTTTTTTTCCATTTTTTTCCTGTTTGCAAAGGACGTTTCTCCAGAACACGTTGTGCCTGGATGTTTATAGCACCACCTCCATTCCTATGGCAATCCGCATTTAGTTTAACGTAATTTTCGCTTTACTTAATGTCCTGGAGAACGCATTGATTTCATAAACCGAGATACTACTGTATATGGATTAATGGTCTAACAGAGACTAAAACAGTTTCTCATGAGCCCAAGATAATGACATTAAGAAAAATCAATGCCTATTAAAAGACATCTCTCACATAATGTTCCTTAGAGACTTTACAGTAAAGACGAGCAAGTAAAAGGGGAAGCATGAAAGTAAAAGCATCATTGCTGGCTTCCACTCCTTTATTACACTTCCAACTTGAATTGCATGGGTCTGAGCAGGATGGTTTCAGTTATATACAGATTTCCCCACCAATAAATAATGAACAAAATAAATATAATATTTAATAAATAAAAATTCAACAAATACTGCGACCCTAGCCACCCAGAACCAAGGGCATGAGTTCAATACTGAAGGCATAGAAGTGGTTTGCTTGCCCTCAACAAGCATCTCCAATTCAGCCTCTAAATCAGTGATTATAAGGACCTATACGGTTCATTACATATGGTACTGTATGGAAAGGATAGGTTCATTACATACGGTACTGTATGGAAAGGATTGTAAACGCTATGGAAGAGAAGCCCAATAGAACTGTTCTCTCTCTCTCTTTGTGTGTGCGTTAATCAACGGTTTATGTTTTGTAGTTATGTTTTTTTTAGTAATAGGAGTGATACACGGATTGTGAATTATATAGGGTTCCAGAGCCCCAAACCCCAGCATTGCTGAAGACAGAAGTGTACAAGTTTTGGTAAATCTGTTATCAAAAGGACAGACAACTATCTAACTCCATCTCCACTGTCAAATGTACTATTTCTTCAGCCAAGAAGAATCATGAATAAAATTAGCCAAGAACAAGAAACCTGTACAAAATATTAAGCAAATGTTTCTGGCAGAAGTGTTGCAATGCTTCAGCAATCCTCTTTGTTAAGAGATCAGGTTCTCATTAAGACAAGGCCCTCCTGTTCTAACTGGCACCTCAGTAACAAGTGTATCTTTTTAACAAGTCTTCCAGAGGAAGAAACACAAGGAATGCCAGTTTGTAAAGAGACTTTGTATCTCCACTTAATTTCTTTGTATCTTGACATTGCCTCTGCACTCTACTTCATGCTCTGAACGCCATGCCTCAATTAGTTCCATGTATGAAGTCTTTTATACAGAAATTTTGGAGGTTTTCTTTGACTCTGGTTAAAAGACAAAGAAATTATTTATCTCTGATGGTACTAGGGACATATTTTTAGGCCCTCCAAAAATGAGACACGTACAGTTTTAAGGCTTAGCAGTCTGGAGATTTTTGCAATCTCATAATTTTCAGTCTGTGAGGTACTTGGTAATTTATCAGCTAGTTTTTCCCAGAACAGCCATTCTCAACCTTTTTCTTTTTTGCAACAGCCATAAACATAATATGAAAGAAACATAGGCTAAATCAGGATTGTACAAGTCACATAACGAACCTTATAAGGTATGGTGTGTGAAGAAAGGTTTCCAGTCTGTGGCCCCCCTTCAAATATGCCAGGGCCCCTCATGGGGCCATATGGCTCCCATTGAGAATGGCTGGCCTAGAAGACTGCAATTAATTTTCCATGGATAAGGTAAAGCAAAAAAGATCACCAGCTGATTAAAATTTCCTCACAATCAGCAAACCATCACTCATGAGAACAGCCTTGATAAGCAGATGGGCTATATGTTAAGAGCAAAGATGTCAGAAACAAAGCTTCATAAAATCTAAGTTGAGCATTAATAGCTCTCAATTTAGCCCCATGTCTAAGAGGGGTATTTTGTTTGTTTCTTTTTAATATTTTTACATTTAGTGTTTTTACCTTTAAATATTGCCTTTTTATTACTTAGCCCCATGTCTAAGAGGAGTATTTTGTTTGTTTCTTTTTAATATTTCTATATTTAGTGTTTTTTACCTTTAAATATTGCCTTTTTATTATGTATGCCACCTTCGTATGGTCATTACTTTGTTCTTAAATATTGTCTTTAAATTCTATAAGCCACCTTGAGTCCTTTTCTAAGGAGAAAGGCAGGGTAAAATATTTTAAATTAAAAAACAGAAATTTATTTTTGTGCTACTTGCAACATTTCTTTGTTTTCCTCAGTTTGTTTATTTATATATTCTTGAAATTTCCAACAATTGTTGCTGAAAAGTTTAATGTAAAAGTAACAGGCCGTTAAAAGCATTCAAATGAGGGACAGAAGGCAAACTCTTTAGAAGCAAGTACATTAATTTCAGTACATTCTTAGAAAGAGCTACTGAATCAGGGGGATAAAAATCTTTGCATCAAATATACTGTGAACAGGTATCCAAGAACCTCACAATAGTTCTGTGTGTCTTTTTTCTTTCTACCTATCACATGACGACCTGGAGTTTAAAAAAAAGCTAAGCAACTGACTGCTGTGCCGGGATATGCAAAGTGTGTGAAGCGTATGTAGGAATAGGGTATAGATTTATATTCTTTTGCCACATGTTCATTTCATATTTCTGTTAAACACCTGATGGGATAGTCTTGAGACAGACCATATGTCAGGCGTTTCTAGTTTGCCTACTGGAAAAGAATTATTACATAATACAGAATTTGTAGCTTCTGCCAAACATCCAAGATCTCTGGCCTCTGCAATCATCACTGGAAATACTGCTTGCTAATGAAATGTTATTCCAGCTGTCCTTGGAGGGAAAAAACAAAACAGTACACTTCCCTTGGATGCTTATTTTCCAAAGGTATATTAGTGGAAAAACAAGATAAAATGAGGTATTCCTCAAAAATAATATTTTGAATAGTCAAGAGAAGAGGCTCTTTTGCCACATGACTCTTGTTAATAATATGTAAAAACTCTGATCAGCACAAAAGATTGCTTGATTTCTTGTTCAAGAACACTACTAGTAAACAGTCTTGTTACCAAAACAGAGTTGTTTCATCTCCTACCAGACCTTACTCCTTACAACAGTGGAGTGTGTGTGGCAGGTACACGGATGTTCATTTACTGGCATTTTCTAGGGCTTTTGAAGTGAAACACACTAACAGAAACTCCCTATTTACAACAGAAAGAACAATGTTCCAGCTCTCTGTGTCCAGAACCAAAGAGCAGGTAACAAGATATTCTGGGTGGGGCATAAAGGAAAACCCATCCACCAGGCTTGACCCCTTACTCCTATGGAATGGGCAGCACTGGCTGTTGCTGGCTTCATGCTCCACCAACAGGTAAACCTGGTTGAAAGTGAAAAGGGCAAGCAAATGTACTTTAGCTAAGTCCCATTTAGGAATCAGGAATAAAAGATATTCATCTTGAAAAGGAGGAAACAGAGACAAAGCTGTACTGCATAAAGAAAGCCAGTTTTTCAGGTAAACTGAATCAAGCATGAATTTGTAGGAAGAGAAAAAGCTGGTATTAAATACTCACATAAGGAGAGTAGAGCTCCCCTGTATCAGTAATGCCTCCAGGCATTTTGGAGGAGATGGAGCAGCCAGGGACAGACGGTTCAGTCTTCTTTGATCCTGTTGATGTTAACCTGAAAGAAACACAAGGCCTGTTTACTTAAGTCAGAGCTGCAGATTTTCATATAAGCTGCTAAATGCAGATCATCAATAGGCATTAATACAACCCTAGATGGACAGTGCTGCTGCCAGCCTTCCATAGAAAGTTAACAGATTCCCCATCTTAGCTACCATTTGAATTTCAACTCTTGTGGCCAGCAACCCAGTTCTTACTTTAGATCACAATATTTTTAAGAGATACCAGTGATCCCATCATCCAAAATTAAAGCACAGTCATTGTTCCAGAAATATAAAATGTCACTACACTGCTCATTCAAAGATTTTGAACTTATTTTAAAGGTTTGAAGCTGTAAGAATTTAAAGTCAGAAAGGATGTTTGAAATCACTCATGAAGTGACTGTAACATACCTTTAAGTTTTGTTTGCATTACAAATAGAAAAAACTATATGACAGAATGAAATATGGGTTTAAAAGAAAGAGTGAGGGAGTTAAGAGCTGTTGAGGCATAAGCCATAGAATGAGAAAAAAGTATGAAGAAAAAGAGATTTCATATTTATAATACAAACTTGAGAGCTTATAATATTGAATCTTCTTATTCTCTATAAACAGGGGAAAAGATATTTTACAAATTATGTATTACTCTGTGGGAAAAAAATCACTCATAGGATATAACACTGTGCATTCTGCTGGCCAATACTGTGACACTCAGTTAAGGCTGCTCCATCACAATAACAGGCTGTGTGTATTTCACTGAATGTGTTCTTTAGTCTTTAAAAGGGCAATGTAAATTCAGCCTTTAGCTATGCTAGTGTTTACACAGCAATGGAAAGTGGAAAAACTAGCTACTGTATTTGGATGGTTTGGATAAAAGAAATATTGCTGCAATAGTGCAGCAGCAATCTTCTACTACTTCCACCTAGTAGAAGTTAAATAGCAACCCCAAACTTAGTGAAGAAGTTTGGGGGATGCTGTTGTTTTGGTGGCAGCGCACATCTGCCTGAGGAAGGCAGGATGAGGCTCAGCAGCACAATCTGAATCCCATATACTCTTCATAGTGAAATGTGCTTGAAGCAGTGAGAAAATACTTTCATCTGGCACCCTCTGTACTAAAATTTGAAAATACAGTAAAATGTTACAAGTAATACAGTTATCTGCAACTAGCTACTTTATCTGTAACAAACTACAATGTGTAACATTTCAAATATGTTACGAGTAGGATTATAATTATTAGTATACCAAATAACATCTGATTAACTTTGACAAATCACACAAAAGGAATTTTAAGGCATAGGCACTTGACTTGTATTTTTCAAGTTTTATGCCACCCTCCTACCAATCTTAACTTCTTTTCAACAGAAAAAGTAATAGAAAATAACACATAAACACCACAAGGTATTTTTTCAACATTGCAACAAGTAATGAAACGGGTCAGTTTTAAAACACTAACAAGAAATAAGTGCAAATTACTTTTAAAGAGTAACTTCCTGATTTCTGTTCTGGAAGAATAAGTCCCTTCTCCAACTTGAAGTCTAATGCTGCAGTGACATGCACTGCAATTTGGAAGTGCAGATGAAAAAGTTGAAAATAAATACAAGTACTAGTTTTAATAACAGCCACTAGAAGGGCTTTCTGAGGAATACATCTGCCCTAAGGGGACAGGGAAAAAAGTTGATAAAGTCTGAACTCAGAACAAATACCAAAAGCAGAACCAGAGAAGAAAAAAATGAGGAGCTGGCCCCCAAAGAGCACGCCAGCCCAACAGTTGCAGAATACAACTGGATGCAGCACAGGTGCACTTATATACATCTGTGTCCCTTAATCAACCACCACCATTATGCTGTTCTCCTCTCTCTCCCAATCTCTTTCTATGTATTTAAGCCTAAGGATTTTTTAAATAACTGATTCTTGTAAGCCACCCAGAACATTTTTGGGGTGATGTGTCATCAAGTCAGGACAGATGTATAGCAATCCAACAGGGCTTTCAAGGCAAGTGAAATATTTAAGGAGTGGTTTCACCAGTTCCAACCATCCAGTGAGCTCCTGTAGTCAAGTGAGGATTGAAACTCAGATCTCCTGACTCCTGGTCTATCACCTATCCGCTACACCAGACTTGGCAGCACAATGGGTACATTCTGGAGCAAATATCATTTAAAAAAAGGTAATGAAACCTTCTCCTAACATTGACTAGCAGTCACTGGGCAGAATAGCATTCCTCTTACAAGGAAAAATAAATTGCCCATGCTGTTCTCAACAAAGTCATAAATCATTCAACTCTAATAGCAAATTCTGGTAGCTGAGCGTTTATGAATTTGGTGAAGAAACAAGACTGCTCAAAAGTAAAGTATGGCTTCTACAGATGTGTACATTACAAAGTTACCTTTTTATAAAAAAATGTAGAAATGTCTGACAACCCCTGAGATTCTGAAATGACAGAATCCGAAGTCATACACACCCACACCAGCAGAAAAGTGGGTGAGAGGGGGAAAAATCAAATGAGGCAGCCTGTCTGAAGCTACTGATCACTTTTATAGTCGAAAGCAATCTGGGATATAGAAAACTTGTGCATCAAAATGGGGGCAGAGGAAACTTACTTGCTCAAGCCTGAGCCCTTATAGTAAGTAAGTATCCTGTTAAGGGGAGGAAGGGTTGGAGAGAGGGGAACTATCCTTCCTTGTTCCAGGATGGTGGCCTCCCTGTAACCATGAGGCTTTAAAATATTCATATCTGAGACTGGCATCTCCCTCACACAGAGGCGTGGCACCCATATACCCAGGCAGCATTTCTGCTCCCAACTCCCCACTTTTAAAAATGGCTCAGAAAGTCCCTTTGTGCCCTCAGGAGCTGGGGGAGGGACAGAGATGTCGTATTTTAGGGCCCTTGATTCTCTAAGTAAAGGAAGCCACACACTCTTGGGTTTAGAGGTGACCCATTTATGGGACCATTCTAAGTTGGAGGCAGCATAGCAGCATATAACAGATTCCCTAGGTTCTTCACCATCCAAAACTGCATATGAAACTTTTTTAAAAATCCCACTTGAATAAGGATAGACAAAGCACTGCCCACATGCAGGCCCCAAGCCATTTTTCCATGTGACAGTACCTCATAATTTCCCCCATTGAAAAAGAGTTGTGGTTTGCCACCAAAATTTGGTGATAGACATCTAAGTCTATAAAGAGAGCTCAATAAGGCAGCAAACAATCCCTTTTACCCCCTTTCCAGTGTGAATTTAAGCAGGAAAAGTAAATTACTATCCTCTTTGCAGATATCTTCCCCAGCATTTCTCTTCCTGAAAACCTAATTGTCTATTGTCAAAGATCAAGCTTTTTGCTATTTAAGAGATTAAGTGGTAAATTTTAATTATGAGGTTTAGGCGTGGAGAACTGTTAGCCATCAGAGAATCAAAGGTCTGTGATTCTCTGGTGTTGCTACAACTGCCATCATAAAGCAAGTGTGAATTATTACTTAAAGATAGAAAATAGTGAATGTATTTGATTTAATGAATTTTATTTAAAGGAATCATTCAGTCTGCCTAGCAGGAGTAAATCTGATTTCCACCAAACACATCATATTGAATGGAATAAACATAGAATAAATCATGTCTAAATGAATGAATTTGAAAAACCTTATTATCAGGCACTGAAATCAGGTAATTTTTTAAAATTAAAAAGCAAAGAATAAATTACTTAATTAGCCATTTTGGTTATAGTTCTTTCTACTCTGGTTACATTTCCATGGAGACACAGATTCCATAGGTAAACTGAATGATTCCTTTAAATAAAATTCATTAAATCAAATACATTTACTATCTGAAAAATGATACCAACCCTTGCCAAAGTTGCCCAACCAATCCAAAACTATCTAAAAAATAATACCAACCCTTGCCAAAGTTGCCCAACCTAGATGTAAGGGGCTTTTTCACTAGAGGATGCAAAGGGTTTTTTAGCAGTAAACAAACAAACAAATAAGAAAGATATGGGAAGGGCATAGGACTGGATCTGGCTATTTAAGGTCCAGGCATATAGCATCACTGGACCTACTGACATTGCCATGATCTGCTCCAGCACTATATATAATTACAAGAAAAATGAACACAGAGAAAAAAGGTGTTCTTCATCCCTTTGCCCAAAACTCATCTCCCTCCCAAGACACCAGGTACAGTATCCAAACACTTGACTCAAAAGGTAGGAATGAATTCACTAGCTAAAATCCTGTTGCTTAGAGTAGGTACACTGAATCAATGAGATTTTTGTGAGTAAACTTCTCTATAAGTTCCACTGATTCAACTGCAACTTAATTTAGCACAGTAAGTTAAAGTTAAGAGTAGGACCATGTACACTGAAATTATGCCTTATGTATGAGGGAAGAGGTCCACCAAATGTAGTATGAATTGTTCTGAGTACATGCGTATAGGAGTTATTGTTATTGTATAACCCATAATAAACATCTTTAGAAGCTAAAATTCCCTGCAGGCATGCCATGCTTTTTGTAACATTAAAAAAGCATTTAAATCTAGGGGAAGTTATGATTTACATTTAAGATATTATAACTGCAGGCTTTATGAACGTATTTATTCATCTAAAAAGTAGATTTGTTCATAACCAAATTCTTTTTAATGTAATGACTATTACTGCTATATGCATTAAAACCAATGTGAAGAAGATTAATTTTTTTATCCTTCATTCTTTATATTAATCATATAACACATTTCCATTCACCTCCATAACTATCTCCTCCCAAACAGAATGATGCTGTAATTACTAGAGCAAAGATTAAAACAGGCAATAAAAACAGCTCCACAGACTTTATAGTACTATGATAGAGATAACAGCTATTGCCTCCAAGATTCCATGCTAACTTTTCCCATGTAAGCTAGATGCTCAGGGACAATCTAAAATGATAACAAGGTCAAAACCAATCACTGAACCAGTGACTGCAAAGAGTGGAATATACAACTACCATGAAAAGGACTCTACGTGCTTAAATACAAAAATAATTGATAGTCAGACCATAGCCTTCCTGGCCACAACAAATTCCACTTCCTATCTGAACCATTGTGGTTGCAGCTATTTATTACAGAAATAAATTCTTAAGTTCCTATAAATCTTCCTAATTTAAGATATTACCTAAACAAAGTATGTAGTATTTTAAGTATATAGTTGATCAATATAGTTGATTTATTACCCAAACAGAAAACATAGTCACAGGAAGGAGGCATCTCATTTGAAAACGACTGAGCAAGAGACCTCAGGAAAAGACGACAAAACATATTTAAAGAAGGAAATATATTTTGTGTCAATGCCAAATTACAAAACTCAATTTAACTATAAATTACAAAATAAAATACATACTTAACTACCCAGTTGAATAGAGACAAAGCATTTTGTCCTCATCATTTTCAAAGTACTGGGATTTTGCATCTGAACCTTCTAAATGACAAGCCCTGGAAGTATTAATACAAAATATATATCCTACCTTCCCTGGGTTCTTAAATGGTTTTCCAAAATAAACCTCCCTAACTACCACTATCCTACAGAAATGTTCCTAAACTTCACAAGAAAACTTGGGAAGAGTTCTAGCCAAATATTTTCACATATTTACGTTCAGGACATATTTCTCCAAAAGCATACATTTTTCTGCCTTTGCCCCCTCAAAAAAAGGAATGAAGGAAAGAAGAAAGGAGGGAAGAAACAAACAGGCTTTACAATATGTACATCCCACAGAGTAGAAGAACGGGCCCTTTTAAAATATCCTCCTCCTAGGCATTTCACAACTTCACATTTGCCCTTCCCTTCAGTCAGGCAAACTTTCTTTGCTAAATAATCTTTCTGAAACTCTGCTATATGTTGAGGAACAGAATTAAGATTTCAGGATTCTTGTAAAATACTAATTGCTACAGAGTTGTTTTATTATGAGGAAACTGAATGCACAAGAATCACAATACAGTATCTGAATAGCAATCCCACTATCAGCTGGCACTACCCTGAAGGACTGATTTTTCCATCCTTTAACTATGAGAGACAAGGAGATTCCAATAGCCATTAATGACTGCAAGTACTGAATTGAGGGGGCTCAAATACTCCAGTTTAACTAAAGCAGAATTACAAAATGTGATCCTTCCAGAATTCTAACAGAGCAAACTCTGCACCAGCTGATCAAGCTAGATATGTATAGGAAGAGGAGAGTCATCCCTCTTTCCTCATTAAAAAAAAAGGGGGGCCCTCAAAACCCAACATGTTCTTAAAAGATTTGTTGCATTCCTTTTCTCATAGAGTAACTCAGTTCTTCTAAACTACTTCGTTCAGAGGTTTTGGAACAGCTCCTCTCACCAGATGTGGGGCAGCGCCTTCCCCCAAGTGGCCACAATCCCCCCCCCCCGACACACAAGTCCCCGTCTCTGAAAGGACACCGAAACCCCTCGAGCCACAAACCTATGCGTTAGAAAAAGGAAACACACTCGGCAGGATGATGTCGACGACCGAGTCTGCTAAGGAGCCACGTTGGCTGCCCCCCTCCTCCCGAACTCCTTCGAGGAGCCTCAAGAAAGGGGGGAAACCCCTTTAAATATCGGATGACACCGCAAACCGGTGGGTGGGCGGGCGAGCCACCTTTATTGCAAGAACTCCTATGGGGACGTCTAGCCTTGTAATTACGGGGCAGTAAAACCCACAGGGTCTTGCGGCAGCTCAAGGGCTAACACAAGTCTCCTCCTCGTCGTCGTCGTCCCCCGCCCCTCTCCTCGGAGCTTAGCCGTGCCCACCCTTGCTGCTACCCTCGGGACAGGCCCCACTCAGAGAACTGGGCACCCTTTTCTACTCCCGCAAAACATGTACCAGCACTACCGCCAAAAAGCCGGAAAGCCTCCACGCCGTCCAAGCCCGGCCCCCAAGGTCTGAAACCGGCTCCCCTCATTCCGCGGCCACAAGAGGAGGGAGGGAGGGGAAAGCCCATGCACAGTTTATGCGCGGACCTGGGAGCGTCTGTACTGTCGTGACGTTCGCCTTCGGAGAGTCCTCCTACGCCGATTGGCCGTGCTCTGGAGCCACGTGACGGCGCGGCGGGGAAACGGGCTTGGAGCGAGATCCCCTGGCTAAGGTAGGACGGCGGGGAAATAGGAGAGAGTTATAACTGCGCATGTGCGGTCGGCGTTGGAGGAGGAAGCGGCGTGAGAGGAGGACCCGGGTCGGCTTGGCAGTTGTGGTGCTTTTACAGGGCAGTGGGAACTGGTGCAGGAGGAAGAAGAAGGAGGTGGGCTCCAGTTTGTCTTTCTTCACAAAATTAGTGACTTCCGCGCGCTTTTTTTTCTTCTTGTAAGAGTAGTGTGGGCCTTAAAGGCTGTGGTCCTCCTAAAATACATGAGTTGGGGTACCTTCTTTTGGGACTTAGCGGGTCTCCTGTCTCACTGGTTCTTAACCTTAGGTCACTCAGGTGTTTTCGAACTGCAACTCCCAGAAAACCCAGCCAGCACAGTTGGTGGTGATGGCTTCTGGGAGCTGCAGTCCAAAAACACCTGAGTAACCCAAGGTTACCTATCTGACTAAACACGTTTGGAATTGGGCTGGACATTTCCTTTTCCACACTTATTCCATTTTAAAGATGTGAGAACCTTACCTATAAAAACGCTAAGGCCTTATCGCTATAAAAATGTTGTTACATTCCCCTGCTTGGACAATGCCGTCTGAGACTTCAGAGAGTGTATGCTTTCCATGATGGTTATGATCATGTACCATCAAGTTAAATGATGTATAATGCTTCTTTAATCGTGATTTCTGGGGATGGAGGGGGGGGAATCTAATCCATAGCTTGTTATGTGCCATCCAGTCAGAAGTGACTTATAGCTATCCTAATAGGTAAATGAGCTATTTTAGGAGTGGCTTTACCAGTTCCACTCCCCCAGTGAGTTTCCATGGCAGAGGCAGTGAACTGAACCCAAGCCTCCTAAGTCTTAGTGCGTCGCTCTGCCCCATGAGGTAGCCTTTTGTATAACTACTCATCTGGAATTTTAGGGGGAATCTTTATGCTAGAGTGTTGTAGCAAAGTCTGAAGAATTTTTAATGACAGTTTAAACATGTTTATTATGGCATAGTCTTTGTAGATGCTGTTGACTTCACCAAATGCTGTCAGCCTTTTAATTTTAAGGTGCTACACAACTCTTTATAGAAATGTTTGCATGTGTTGGGGATAGAAATGAAAACTGGTGAGCTTGATGGCACCTGATATTAATAGTCAGTAGGATTTTTAAAACACACACATGGTTATGGTCAAATTGGTAGTGTTAAGAGAATATTGATGCTATAGCCTAATTATGTTTAACTTTTCTAGGGGTTGGGAATACCATAATTTACCCTCACCAGGTTGCTTTTGCCATGGCAACCCTATGAATAAAAGGGGATAACCAGTGTGGTGTAATGGATAGAATGACAGATGAGGACTTGCGAGCCCTGGGTTCAAATGCCCACTCAGCCATATGAACTCACTGGAGGAGTGGAATTGATAAAACTCCACCTTAAATACTGTATCTCACTTGCCTTGAAAACCCTATTGGAATAGCTAGAGGTCAGTTTTAACTTGACAGCACAGAACAACAAATGGATTAATGATCTCCAGAAGGACCTGTCATTAACATTTCTGTGCATGTCTTGCAAACTGAAGACCATAGCTTATTTTACTGATCCAGTCACTCTTGTGTTAGTGGTTATGTAATACAGTACTGTCCAATATGACTAACTGAACTTCTTGGTTATGGCCTCATAAGCATTTGCTTCATAAGCCTCATGCTGCAGTTATACTGTAAATGTCTGTGTATACATCCATACAGTTGTTTTCTGTTTAGTTTTAAGCACTAGTAGAAATAGTATAGGGGAAATATTAAGTTAATGTTCTGCAGTAGTTTTACTGTTTTGACATACTGTCTATAATTATTTTAGTAAAGTTGTATGCCTTACTAACACATCTTGTTGTTTCAGGATTTGAACTATGAGGATTAACCAAAACACAGTACTACAGGGGAAGAGGGTTACCCTGGTACCATATACTGCTGCACATGTACCCAGGTATTAAACAGATAATTTCCTCCACCTTCATGAAGGGATATAGTTTGAGAGCTCTGGTTTGACATGGTCTTTGTTTTAATAATCCTAGGAAATGAAATATTTGCAATATTAAAAGGTTTATCAAGTTCCATTTGAACTAGAGGACATAGGGATAGATTGTTTATAACATACCTGTTTAAGTTTTCCATGGAGGCTGTTTGATATTATCCAGTCAGACTTTGCATTATAGCCCCTAAGTGTCTGTACTACATCTCGTATCAGTGTCAGAACCACTCAACTTTAGTTCACTGACAAGCACTGCAATGCTTATACATTCCATTTCTTGCTTTACAGTTTCCAGTTTACCTTGATTCAAACTTGTCCTTTTTCAATGTTCCAATTGTATGCCTTATGCAGCATTGGAGTTTCCTTTCACTTTTGTGCATTTCAGCCACTAGATATCTTTTCAGTTTTAATCTAGTTACATCATTAATGACAGAGCTATTAGTACTTGTCATTTGCTCATCCTAAGTAGCTGATTGAGTACGTTCCAACCTGGGAGTCTCATCTTCCAACACTATTTCATGTTTCATTTTGGACTGTCTCATGGGGTTTTCATGGTAAGGAAAGTTCAACAGGGCTTTACTATTGCCACCTTCTGTGTAGTACAAACAAAAATTACCTTAGTTGTCACTGCCGTTGTCTTCTCGACCAATGTCACCTTCAGCTGCTGCCCTGTAGTTGTCTTGAAGAGGGTGGATGTATCTTAGTCAGATGTCTCAGCTGTGACCAGTTCACCTTGGATGCCTTTGCTAGGAGTCCAGTCGAGTAATGAAGTCTGCCCTCCTGACAGCATTGCTCTCAGCTTCACTGATGCACTCAAACCCCTGCTATTTTGTGTGGTTTTTTAGCTCCTTCACTTGATAAATTGCTCATAATCCATAAGACTGCAGTTCAGTCTTCTGTGCATTTTTTTTCAGATAATCAGTGGCTATGTGGTATTGACTTCAAAACTAAGTTGGTATTTAGAAATGTTAATTATAAGAGCTGGAATCTTACTACGTTACCTCTTCTGAAGTAATTTAAGTGGTGTAATTTTCACTGGCAAATTGTCATGAGTTAAGAAGTCAGCACTTGTTTTTTTGTCACCAAGTCCCGCATGTGATGTGTGGCAAGAAAAGGAAACACCAACTTCTTAATAGGTGGCACTTCACCACTTATTATGCTGTTGAAGGCATTGGTAATGGGGCTTGCTGTATTACAGCTAACTTAGTACAGTAGGTCCTCCACATCCGCAGGCAATTGGTTCTAAGCTCCCCCCCCCCCGTGGATGGTAAAAAATATGGATTGTAGCAAACTTTATTATAATAGGAAATGCTGTATATGTATAGCATGGTCTCTGGCTCCTCCTCGTGGCCATATATATATATATATATGGGATTTTTCTTTTAACGGTTTAAATATTTTCAGACCACAGTTGGGTCAGCGGATATTGATCCAGTGGATGAGGAGGTCCTACTGTAATTGCCAGTAAAATAGGTCTGCCATTATGAGGAAGAGATAAGTGTGGAATGAGGGCCTTGAGTTTCTTTTCAATGAGGATTGGCCCTCTCATTATTAGAGATAATGTTTTGTTTGGCTATGTTTTCTTCTCAGCACAATATTGTTACCAAGGGCAACCTTTTGTTACCGAACTAAATGGTAACCAGCAGTGTGCCAGTGGAGCACTCTTAATGAATCTAGCCATTAAGAACCAAATGTCATCCTATCCACTTAATATCTCTTCCATGTTGCACTCTTGATCACAAGAGAATGGGACTGGATATAGAGGCTTGGCTTTTCATGTATATAGATGGAACATTATTTGTACCTGTATCAGTCATCTCTGGCAACTAAAAACTAATTCATTTTAGTGGTCTTGTTTGCTTTTCCACCAACTTATAGTGGGTAATGTTCTGAAAAGAACTGCATTTTTTTGTTTTCTCATCAGATATCAGCACCACTGTATATAGATGGAACATTATTTTTACCTGTACCAGTCATCTCTGGCAACTAAAAACTAATTCATTTTAGTGGTCTTGTTGCTTTTCCACCAACTTATAGTGGGTAATGTTCTGAAAAGAACTGCATGTTTTTGTTTTCTCATCAGATATCATGAGTGGATGAAGTGTGAAGAACTGCAGCGTCTGACTGCATCTGAGCCACTAAGCCTTGAACAAGAATATGAGATGCAATGCAGTTGGCGAGAGGATGCAGACAGTGAGGTTTTGAGCATTTGTCAGGGCCAGAGGATGGGGCAGTGAATACATATGTTGGTAGCTCATTTCTGTGTCAGCAGGATGTAAAAAAGCTCTGTGTTTCAAATACTGGAATACTCATGAAAAAGGACCACACATTGGCTCACATCCTATATAATAAGTGTTGTAAGTTGTACTAAAGTAGGCCCATTGAATCAGTGGGGACTTGGTGAGTGAGCTGTTTTGTAAGTTCCAATGATTCGAAGGGGCTTACTCTAGTTGCAACTTACTAGGTCATAGCTAGAGTAGGACCATTTGAATCAATGGAGCTTACAGAGGAGGTGACTCACCAAATCCCTACTGATTCAGTGGGCCTACTGTAGTGCAACTTGCTATGCCAAGTAACAGGATTTCAGCCGTTAATTGCTAATAAGCTAAATTACATTGTGAAAGAGGGATGTTTTTAATGTTTACATTCTTTTTAATTGACATTTATATTTACATTACTATATTTAAAACTATTAGAATAGGATGAAAACTGCCATCTGCAGTTCTATTTTGCTTCTGTCACTGTTTTTTTTATTTTTGGAGAGAAGGAAACAGCTGCATGAATTTTTAAAAACCCATGTCACCTATCCCAGCAAAACCCTTTCTTTCTTTCCCTTTTTCATTATAATCTCATCTCTTTACCCTGTTCTTCATTTTATCCTTAGTTCTATATAGGCATCTACTTCTTTCTTACTTAACTAGGGTATGGTTTGTGTTATTGCTATTATTTTATAATTTATCTATATGGTCCCTTATACCATTCCCATGTTATTCTTTGTTGTAAATACGTGGTTACACTGTTTTTACTTAATAGATGGCTATTGTATACTAACACTATTTTTATATTTTTATTTATACACTCTTTCCCCCACAATGAATACAAGGCTGTATACTTTCTTCCTGCTTGATGCCCATTACTACAGTATTTAATTAACCTTGAAACTTATCAGGAGTCCCCAAATCACTCCCAATTTTTTGGACTACAACTCCCAGAATCCTTAGCACCTATTGCTGTTGATAAAGGACTGTAGTGTTGTAATCCATAACACCTCTTTTATCTCTTTCTTGCCTTCTGTTGTTTCATTTTTTTTTTCTGTTTTGGCCTCTGGGTGTCCTTTCATTCAGAATATGTTTGCTATTCACATATGCACAAACTTCCAGCTTCTCAGTCATCAGCTCACATATCAAACAGATCAGATCCTCTTGCCTTCCGCATAGTCAGATCCCGTCTTGTCCTCCAAGAGTCTGCAAAAACTGATTTTGTGATATTCTAATGCTTCCCTTTTTGGTGTAGCAATTGCATGTTTCTTTTTATAAGGCATTGCCTGATTTTTATTATTCATTCATTGCTTAGTTCAGCAGCTGCTGTTCAGCTTATTGCTGTCTTCCTGTACCTTCTCTTGCTCTGCTAACACTCGTCCTGCCATATTGCTGAAGAAATGTTCATGCAAGAAACTAAACATAAGCACTGACATTTTAAAAAAACAACAGCACCACTTATGTTGTCAAATGTACAAAATTAATTTATAACTTAATTTATCATTGCTATGTATTAGCTGCAATCTCTGGTGTTTTTATATAGAATCATGCTGCTGTTCTACCACTGTCTGTCCTTATAGGACCACCATATGGAACAAACACTTCAGTGTTACCTTGTAAGCTGCTGGTCACATCATCAATAGTGTTGTGCAGAGTGTGTAAATACTGACTAGATGGCAGGTTTATTTTGCGCTCATATTCCAAAGAAATCTACTGAGGTTTACCCCTCAGAGCCACTCAAATTCAAATATGAGGAATGCAAGTAGCACGTGTTTTTCTTTCAGTGATTTACAAATTATTTTTAATATTATTTTGATTTTCCCAGAATGCACGTTCATAATACTTGATACAGATAAGTGGTCTAGGCAGACAGCTACAGAAGAAGAATGCATGGTAGGAGATGTGAACTTGTTCCTCACAGACCCTGAAGATCCATCAGTGGGTGAGATAGAAATCATGATTGCAGGTAATCTGACAGTTCTCTTTTGATGGCTCTGTCTTCTAGTACAGCTCCAGGCCTTTTTGGATGAAACCAACGACCTGGATCCATTTCAGTTGGGCTTCAGGCTGCGCCACGGTACAGAAACGGCACTGGTTGCACTGTTTGATGACCTGCTGAGGGAGGCTGACAGGGGCAACATGTCTCTGTTGGTCCTTCACGATATCTCAACCGCCTTCAATACCATCGACCACAGTATCCTCCTGGGCAGACTCTCTGAGCTGGGAATCGCTGGTCTGGCACTAGCCTGGCTCCGATCCTTCTTGGAGGGCCATTCCCCAGAGAGTACAGCTTGGGGAGAGTGTATCTGCTCCGTAAAATCTTAATTGTGGAGTTCCGCACCGCTTGATTATCTCCCCAATGATGTTTAATATCTACATGAGGCTGCTGGGTCAGGTCATCAGGGGATGCGGGGCTTCATGTCATCAGTATGCTGATGACACCCAGCTCTACATCTCCTTTTCTCCATCAACAATGGATGCCATTTCGTCCCTTTAGCACTGTCTGGAGGCCGTACAGGGGTGGATGCAGGTGAATGGTCTGAGGCTGAACCCAGACAAGATGGAGGTCTTGAGGGTGGGTGGCCCTGATGTCAGTGGTTTGGGGATCTCCCTCTCTTTGGGGGGACTGACTCTCACCACAAAGAATTTGGTTCACAGTCTGGGGGTCCATCTTGACCTGGCGCTCACCATGGAGACCCAGGTAGTATCAGTGGTTCATACCACCTATTTTCATCTTTGGCGGATTGCCCAGCTGTGTCCCTATCTTGATGTGGAGACCATCACCACTCTGGTCCATACGCTTGTAGTCTCGAGATTAGACTACTGTAATGTGCTCTACATGGGGCTACCTTTGAGATTGATGCGGAAGCTTCAAATGGTGCAGAATGCAGCAGCCAGACTGGCTACCCTGCATTGGCAACCCGTTCATTTCTGCATTGATTTCAAAGTACTAATGATGACATATAAAGCCCTAAATGGTTTAGGACCTCAATATCTGGCAGAACGCCTCCTCCCAACCTATATCTTCCTGAATCACTCACTTTAGTCAAGATGGGTGGCTGAGGGCCTAATGCCAAGGGAGGCCCAAAGAGAAAGAATAAGAAAGCAGGCCTTCTCAGCAGTGGCCCCTCGCCTCTGGAACAATCTCCCCCCCCAAAAAAAAAATAAATTTGTCTAACTCCCTCACTGGGTGTTTTTAAGAGCCAACTCAAGACCTGCCTCTTTAGGCAGGCCTTTCCTCCTGTCAGTACTTAATTTATTGTTATCCTTATGGTTTAAATGTTGTTGTTTATTTTATTTTATTATTCTTGTATGTTGTTAGCTGCCCAGAGTAGACTTCAGTCTAGATGGGCGGGATAGTAAATGAATGAATGAATGAATGTCGTTAAGAATAATTGTTTCAAAATATTCTCTGTTATCATCAACATGTGTCTGGCTGATACCAACCCAAAGTCACATGGTCTATGTCCAGGCATTCCTGGCATTAGTTTCATTATAGCCTACGGTTTGAAACAGGGCTCATGAATTTTGAAAAGTGAAGCAAAAATCCTGATTAAAATGGATCATGTACACTGTTTTTTGTTTAATCCAGCCCTCCGTTTATTCCTATTTTCTATCCTTTCCTCTCATGAAGAAATATTTTTATATACTAAAGAATTTTATATAGTAAACAATAAGAAAGAGTTGCATTCCCTCCTCCCTTGAAAGAGTGCCTGAAACGGAAAAGGTTATAAGATTAGACTCCTAATCTAAATGAGTCATGAAACACACCACTTATTAGTGTTTGTTCTTTCTTTCAGAGTCCAGCTATCGTGGCAAAGGCTTTGGCAAGGAAGCCACGCTGATCATGATGTCTTATGGTGAGAATGGCTAATGTAGGCGACATATTGAAAATGCTGCGTTACTATCTACTGCACAGTTACAGAGAAAGAAAGAGATCTAGGGGATAAATCCAGCTCTTAGATACAACCAGGGCAGACCCAGAGGATTAATAGAATTTCCATAAATGTTGTCTTAACAAGTCCCATTCATTGGATTTAACCCTAGGAATTTACAACATCAACACTTGATGGAATGGAACACTAAAAATAAAATCTGTTTTGTTCTTTGGGTTAAGTCCCCAATAGTGATTTTAAAATAAAAATAAGTAAGAAATTTGACAACAAGAAGAGCTGGAATCAAGAAAAGGAGGTCTTGTTTTCCTGGGAGGCTTTTTTTGCGAACAGTTAACAAAGTTGGGGCCAGTCTGGCCTTCTATGGGAGAGAGTTCCAGACTCTGGGGGCATTGAGAGAAAAGGCCCTCTGTTGTGTCCCCATCAAATGTGGCTATGAGGATGATGGGACAGAGAGAAAGGCCTCTCCTAGTGAACCTAATACTTGGTAGGCTTTCTCTTCAGGCAGGCTTTCCTTTAAATGAGTGGTGGACCAGGGGGATTTTTATAATTTTATTCTTTTGTTTTACTTGAGCTTTTATTACGAGTTTTAGTATGATATCTGTTTAATGCTTTTTAAATAGTATAATTTATTTATCTTTTACCTTTTTTCTTTTAATCCTGTAAGCTGCCTTGGATCCTTTAGGACAGTGGTCCCCAATCTTGGGCCTCCAGATGTTCTTGGACTTCAGCTCCCAGAAATCCTGGCCAGCAAAGGTGGTGGTAAAGGCTTCTGGGAGTTCTAGTCCAAGAACATCTGGGGGCCCAAGGTTGGGGACCACTGCTTTAGGAGAAAGGATGGTGTATAGATATTTTCAACAGATAAAATAAATACATTAAAGACTTATTTCCTCTTTTGCAGTAGCAGGATTTTATTTCAATTCATAGACATTGATATTTTGCACAGATTTTAATATTTACTCATATGTATGCAACCAAGGGACGTGGTGGCGCTGTGGGTTAAACTGCAGAAGCCTCTGTGCTGCCAAGTCAGACCAATGGTGTATAGATATTTTCAACAGATAAAATAAATACATTAAAGACTTATTTCCTCTTTTGCAGTAGCAGGATTTTATTTCAATTCATAGACATTGATATTTTGCACAGATTTTAATATTTACTCATATGTATGCAACCAAGGGACGTGGTGGCGCTGTGGGTTAAACTGCAGAAGCCTCTGTGCTGCCAAGTCAGACCAGCTGTCGTAAGATTGAATCCACATGACGGAGTGAGCTCCCGTCGCTTGTCCCAGCTCCTGCCAACCTAGCAGTTCGAACGCATGTAAAAATGCGAGTAGATAAGTAGGTACCATCACGGTAATGACATTCGATGTCTAGTTGCGCTGGCCACGTGACCACGGAAACTGTCTACAGACAAACGCTGGTTCTATGGCTTGGAGACGGGGATGAACACCGCACCCCAGAAACAGACACGACTGGACTAAATGTCAAGGGGAACCTTTGCAATTTTTTTTTCCTAGGGAGAGTGGAATCTTTGTTGCTTATGATAGTAGGGACATAAGAAGCTTCCATATACTGAGTCAGACTAATGTTATGTCTAGCCCACAATTCCTCTGTTGCTTGGCAGCAGCTCTCATATTAATCAAAATTCTCTCCCATCTCTTGTTGGAGATCTAGGTAATTAAACATGGGGATTTTCACATGCAAAGGATATGTTATTTCACTGCACTGTGGCCCTTCTTCAAAGGAAAGTGGCATTTGTACAGATGAGGGGGACTGATTTCTGATCTTTTGTCTTGTAGGAATGACACATCTTGGACTCCTCACCTTTGAGGCTAAAATTGGATTGGAAAATGAACCCAGTATCCATATGTTCAAAAAGATTCATTTTAAGGAGGTGTGGTAACAAATAGTTTTCATGTAATGTAACTATCTTTGTATATGTATTTATTTTGGGACATAAGATTAACATATGTTGTCTTCTCTTCTGTTTAGGTGGGAATAAATAGTATCTTTCAAGAAGTGACACTAAGAATGAATGTGGATGAACAAGAGAGGCAGTGGCTACTTGAGCAAACCAGTCATGTGGATGAGAAAAAATACAGTGTCATGAAACTGCAAAATGAGATTTGTGACAGCTGACACAGGGAAACTTCTAATTCCACTAGACCTCTGAATTATGGACTGACTCCACAATATTTGCAAGACACAGAGAATTCAGTTATCAACTATATCTTTTAAACCATCTGCCCTCCTTGCAACTACGCTGAATCTGGATTTCAGCAGCTCCTGCTATTTTTGCAAGACACAGAAAATTCAGTTATCAACTATTCACTATTTATATCTTTTAAACCATCTGGCACTCCTTGCAACTACACTGAATCTGGATTTCAGCAGCTCCTGCTATCATCTCAAATTGCTAAAGTATGACATGCTTACATAGAAATTTATTTGGATTAAAGCCTTCCTCTACACCAACATGCAAAGACTTTTATGTTGTGCTGATGTGTCTGGAGGTGAGCAATATCAAGCTTCAGAAAAATCAGCTTCTGTTATAAATGGATGTGAAACAGTGGCTGAAATCTAGTAGTAAGTTGAATTAATAGAGCTCAGAGAGGAATTGACTCACCAAATCCCCACCAATTTGATGGGCCTACTCTCAGCGTTGCTTCTTGACTTAACATTGAGAGGACCTAAAAGCACTGGAGGCTGCCATCCATTATCTGACATTGAACAGCAAAGCTTATCTTCTTACTGACAAAACTTAATTTATTGTTCACTTTGTTTCAGAAATCACAGTTCTTATATTTTGCATATGTGAAATGTGATAACATGAAATAAGACTGGTATTGCTTCATGGAACAGCCCTTTTTTTGTTTTACATGCACATACATTTTGTGCCACGTGGCTTTTTCCAAGTCACAAAAGCATGTTTGATTATAAAGAAGTGTATTACTCAGACACCCTTCTCAGTTGTATGTGAGATTTGTCAAGAAAGAGGAAGGAATTGAGGAAAATCCTTTCTGCTGACATAGCAGAGAACTATGTCAGCAGTTCAATTTTCCATTACAGCCTTACACAGAGCTTTTCTGTGTAAGAGTTACTGCTAAAACGCACAAGGGCTAAAAGAAATGGTTATTCCTACTGGTTTCTAATAGACACAAAATCTTTGATATACACATTGTATAATATATTCCTACAGGCTTGTTTTGGCAAAAGCAGCCCAGAGAAAAATTATGTAGGTATGAATCCTCTCTGTATTACAGCTAACCAGATAGTCTTCACTGGAATATGTTTGCTGAAGGAATATTACTAAACAGGCCAAAAATTGTCTAAATGCACCAAATTGCTTTATTAATGGTTACAAAAAAAGTTCATATAATGCCCATAGGCCTAACCATAACTCAACTGAAATACAAATCAATCAAATGTATAGTTAGTTCAAGCCCAAGAATCAACCCTTGAACACAGGCAGAAACACACTTCAACAGCATTGCAATGATTGCTCCCATCACCGATCCTGAGGACTTATCCCCAACCAGAGGAGGGCCTTTTGGATGAGTGAGTATCTTGTGTGAATGGTAAGTATGAATGAGAGACCACTTGGTACTTTTTGTCTTATGTCTTATCAATAAATGTTACATAAATAGTGCTTAACCCAAAGTTATTGGTGTATGGTCTTCTTAGTAGTCTGGCTGGGCTCTCTCTCTCCTCTCATGGTCCCTCTCCCCAGGATATAAAGAACAGTAACCCATTTGGGGTAACACAGTGGGGGAGGTGGCAACAGCCTCAGAGCTTCATTTATTTGAGACAGACTTAGCTGATTTAACTTTTAAAATGTTGTTTTAGTTCTAAATCCCTTCAGGGAAGCAACAATGCTGTTTATTGGAAACAGACTTCCAAATGAGAGACTGAGACTCCGGATGTAAAAAAAAAGATGTGATAAACTTTATTCTTGTTTAAAAAGTGATGCACTTCGGCAAATGGTCTTCAGGAGCCTAACATAAAAACAGAAATAAATTAGTCTACAAACAGCAAGCAAGGGACAACTGCAAATTATATAGTATTGGTGAATATGCATGCAACAAGATCTAATATGGATTGATAGCAACATTTTTGATACATACCAAGCTTTTACAACTTTGTCAGCTCATTTAGTCTAAGCTCTGACAGATAATCACAAGAACAAATCCCAGAGGAGTACACTGTATGATGCATTCCTATGCAGCTGGCAGCAGAGTCAAAGACAGACAATCAGGAAGACAGTGGGGGCAGTGCTAAAGTAAAGTCAAGAAATCTATTTCTTTATTAAGCCCGAAAGGGGCTGTATTCAATCTTAATATCCTGTCTATTTCTTTTCTCAGTACTTTCCAAAAATCACATATACAACCCAAAATGTTAGATCTCTTTCTGAATAATTAAATTCCATAAAGTGGCTAACAAGAGGACTACCCAGTCTTTTATTTCTTAACCTTATACATGTCTTAAGTGATCTAGAGGTCTTAGTTATATACAGTTTATTACGAAGGCACCTTATAGCAAAGATCACTCCTTTAGTATTGCAAGTAGTACATTTCTTTCAGACATAGCTGTTGCCATTCTGTGGATCTCTTAAGTTCTGTCATATGACATGTATTTTTACAGTAGGCACAATGGCCACGGGGTGGTGTCCTGTGGGAGGAGAAGAGTCAGGCAAGGTATTAGAGATTCATAGTGATGATCTGTCTTTCAACTCACTCTTTACTAAAATATCCACTAGGTTTCTAGTTCTTTTAAAACAGGTCTGTAATCTCTCCTGGAAACTTTCCACGCTTTCTAAAACATGCCAATGCTGCTTTATGCAATTCTATAATTTGTTGCTGACATGATCATATGTTAAAATACAGTTAACATGGTGTATAGGTTCTTGTGTCTTTTTTTTTTTTAAGAGATCACCCACATGTATTGGTAGCCTTAACAAGACTATTTATAATCTCATGTGGGTATCTTCTGTCTCTTAGCTGATCTCTCAATATCAGGGATTAATGCTCAAAAGTCCTTCCTCATTTGGAATTCTGCCACTAGTGGATGTTTCTTAGCTGATCTCTCAGTATCAGGGATTCCTGCTCAAAGTCCTTCCTCATTTGGAATTCTGCCAATAGTGAATGTACCAGTTCCCCATTTTCTGGTTTTCTTATTGGAAACAACCAGCTCCCACCATTTTGACCACCCCAATGTCTCCCCTGCCAATTTCACAGTGAGACTATCTCCTTGGCTTGTTTGCTTCTTGATTGTCTGTTCATTAAGGAAATACAGTATAAGACAGCAACAAGGCTTTTAGTCCATTGAGGTTTGGATGGAGCAGATGGGTCTCCCTAGACAGATTCATTAGGCAACACATGTAAGAGAATGACACCAAGATTACCCTCAGCTTCAATGACAATTATAAGGGAATTACAGCATCATTTAGTGCACAGGCTAATTGCAATTTATGCATCATCCTGGTTGTTATAGGATGGACACAGTGCCTTCCGAAACAAACTTTTTTGCTGCTTGCAAAAGACAATATTTTTTAAAGTGGTCCAAAGCCATGTTTAATTTTTTTTAAAAAAAAAATAGATATGTAAAGTATGCAAAATGTATTATGGCAAAGAATAACCAGATGATGTTAATCAAGACTGGAAGAGAGAGATGCATTATAATGAAGGCAAATCATGTCACACATACTCAAGTGTTGAGACGTAAAGGCTGAAATCATTATTCAGAAATAGTCCCTTTAACTTCAAATGGGACAAACTGCATTATTCAATCGAAGCTGCTGGAAAATGGTTAATTTTCTTTTATCCTGTAGAAGCTAATTCTCTATAATAATTGTAAAAAACTATTGTATCCTATTCTGGCATTACTGAAAAACAGAATCTGGAGGGGGTCAATACAGATGCAGGAATACACATAACCACAATCCCCAGGTATACTTGCTCCAAGATCCATTCTTTATTTCCTCCCCATAACATCTATGGGGGGAAGTAAAGTGAAAGCATTGTGTTAAAAAAATACATTATCTTGACACTGCACACCTTGCCTTTCACTGACAGAATTATCATGGAACAGTGCAAATACATTATCCACATAGAACCTTAAGCCATCCTGTTTCTTCCATACGTATCAAAATGATAATTACTGCTTTGCTAATGAATTAATTAAAAGAAACAAATACCACTGGAGCTTCACCTAATCACCTAATATAAGCCCTGTAACCAGGCATGTTTCAGTTTAATATGTTCTAAACTAGCCTCTTCCCAACTGCTGATCACTTCCAATTGTACAGTAAGTAGGTAAAAGATTTGGTATACATTAGTTCAGTCATCAATCCAAATGGAGATTGCAGCTAAGAAATCAGAAGAAGACTGAGACTCAGAAGGGCAGCTATAAAGAAATTAGAAAAGGTGATCATGTGCAAGGATGTGTAACTGGAGACCAAGACCCAGACAATTCACACTCTAGTATTCCCGATTGCCATGTATGGGTGTGAAAACTGGACAGTGAAGAAAGCAGACAGGGAAAAATGGTTTATTTGGAATACGGTGCTGGAGGAGAGCTTTACAGATACCCTGGATTGCCAGAAAGACGAACAAGTGGGTCTTAGATCAAATCAAGCCTGAACTATCTCTGGAGGCAAAAATGTTGAAGCTGATGCTGTCCTATTTAGGACATATCATGATTCACTAGAAAAGACTATAATGTTGGGAAAGACTGAAGGAAGCAGGAGAAGAGGAAGACCAAATATGTGATGGACTGACTTCCTAAAGGAAACCTCAGGCTTGCATTTACAGGAGCTGAACAAGGCTGTCGAGGACAGGACATTTTGAAGGTCTCTCATTCATAGGGTCACCGTAAATCATATAATCATAGAAAAGTGAAGTTGGAAGGGGCCGACAAGGCCATCAAGTCCAACCCCCTGCTCAATGCAGAAATATAATCAAAGCATATCTGCCAGGGGATTATCTAAGTTTCTCTTGAATGCCTCCAGTGTTGGAGCACTCACCAACTCCCGAGGTCACTGGTTCCACTATCATACTGCTCTAGGTAACTGGTTCTACTGTCGTACTACTTTAATATGACAACTTGGCAACCTGACAACATGCAGCAACAACAATGAGGTGTGCAAATGGTATGTGTTGCTTTTAGTATGCTATGAAGGTCCTGCAAATACGCAGCCTTGAATTCTCATGGAAAGCAAAGAGCTCCTTTTTTGTATCAGCTTTTCTGGCTTCCTGTTTCATTTGCAGTCTCAATTATCTCTAAAACCCC